ATGTTATATTTATATGTTATTAGTGGTGCTGTCAAACGATTAATCGCATCCAAAATAAAAGTTTTTGATTACATCATATATGTGTGCGTACTGTGTATATTTATTATGTATATATAAAGACACACACATACAGCATATATTTTGAAAATATTTACATGTATTTACGTGTATATATTTATATTCATATAAATTATATCATATATAAATATATTTAATATATAAATGTAACATTTTTCTTAAATAAATACATGCATGTGTGTGTGTGTGTGTGTGTGTATTTATATATACATAATAAATATACACAGTACTCACAAAAACTTTTTTTTGGATGCGATTAATCACGATTAATCGTTGACAGCACTAGTTATTAGTCTTAAATTGAATAGTATGGTCAGAGCTTGAAGACGAGTTTGAAACACATACACAAAATTGTTGATAATAACTATCATGCGTGAAAGCTAATCATTTTAAGTGAAATGAGATTTGTAAATTGTCTGTGTACTTTGCAGTTTCATGCATTTTTCATGAAATTCATTTTAACCAAACATATACAGTATTCAGGATCATTATACAGGACTCATCATGTGTGACTGTATAGATGTTTTGTGATGGCTCTTGTTTACAGTGTGCGCTCTGTTTAATTCAAGTTTTTGAACATGTGATTGATATTGTTTCATGAGAAAGATATTGTTTTTGGAACTGGGTTGTATAGCACTGTATTTTTGTCTCCTTGTGAGGGTCATTATTTTCAAATGTTCTTATCATTGAGTTATCTTTATAAACAGTGTATTACTGAGCTGCTGCGCATTATGTTTTTGTACCCAGGCTGCATCAGTCCAAGCAGAAAGTGAAGCAGCCAAAGGAGGTTCAGAGTCACGTAAGATTTAACTCAAAACATACTTTTCAAAAACTTTATGTTCAAAGACACTGACATGTTAAATCCATAACTTGTGCTTAACATATTTTCTGCAAAATGTAAGAAATTATGAAAGTTTTTTGGTTGTATACTTTTGTGACGTAAATTAAATGACCTATTGCATGCATTTAAACAATTTGATTAAGATGTATTGTTCTTCTGTTTTGTTTGTGTAGAAAACGTAGAGAATGTTGAAGAAGCCACTGCAGGAGAGAATCAGGTCATTTGACGATTTTCATTCAACTTAGTCGTTTGAAATATTGGCTAAATATAAAAAGTATTTATAGATTGGCTTATATGTAATAGTATTGTATAGTAAACTAACTCCAAACCAATATTTTATAGGGTTGTAAAATGCGTATACATGGGTGTGAGTATTTGCATGTGTGTTTATGATGTGTTAGTGTATTTGCAGGATGTCAGTCAATATGTACTTAGTGAGATGCAGGCTGTGGAGGCTGAACAGAAGCAGATAGATCGCAGAGCAGACATTGTGGAGAGGAAACTAAGAAGACTTATGGAATCTGGTAAATATATACACATATCCACTAGCGCTGACAAACGATTAATCGTGATTAATCGCATCCAAAATAAAAGTTTTTGTTTACATAATATATTTATGTGTACTGTGTTTATTTATTATGTATATATAAATACACACACACACATACAGTATATATTTTGGAAATATTTACATGTATATACATTTATATATTTATATTATTATATTTTATATTATATATAAATATATTTAATAAATAAACAACACATTTTTCTTAAATATATACATGCATGTGTTTGTATTTCTATATACATAATAAATATACACAGTACACACTCATATATTATGTAAACTAAAACTTTTATTTTGGATGCGATTAATCGCGATTAATCGTTTGACAGCACTAATATATAATGATTAAAGTAGTATATATATATATATATATATATATATATATATATATACGTATAAATTAATAATTTGCACACACCTCCAGATTATTATTAACAGTATTAACTAACTTTAGATTATGATAGATTATGATGCATTGTGCTGAGCAAATGACAAAACATTTGATTAGTGTGGCTTGATGAAGTTGTGCTCTTATCATACACTTGAAGGTAGTGATCGTGTAGAAGAAGAGACACTGATTCAGGAGTGGTTTACCCTGGTCAACAAGAAGAACGCTTTGATCAGGAGACAAGACCATTTGCAGTTACTGTATGTCTTTTCACACTTATTCCAATTTTGTTTCACTATACTTATTTAGATGATGACCTCTCTAAAGCTTCATTTGAACAGAGGCTGATTTAATATGCATTGCTAATAATTATCATTCCTTTTGTGTGACAGACAAGAAGAGCAAGATTTGGAGAGGAAATTTGAGCTGCTAAAGATAGAGCTACAAGATTTAATGGCTGTGGAAGGTACGACTGTTCTTACATAAATATACTGTATGTGACATGGAGAACTATATAGCTAAGAATGAAAGAATGTGTTTTGACATATTAAAGACATTTTGGCACTCATCAAGTAGTTTTCTCAGTTGTGGCATGTGGCATCTCTCATTACCCTCAATTTTTTGTCTTGCTTGTTTTGTAAAATTGAAGAATGGAAGAAAAGCCAGGCCCATAAAACCAGAGAGCAGCTGTTGTTGCAGGAGCTGGTGTCTTTAGTCAACCAGAGAGATGAGCTTGTGCATGATATAGACGCCAAAGAGAGAGGGTGAGATTCATTCACATTACAAAATATAGTCCTTTTTTAGTCCAGAATTGAAATGTTTCTTGTGTAGCAAAGACTGAAGTCAATGTAATTCATTCCGTTGCCATCAATGGAATAAATTACATTTTAAAAAACATTAAAATAGAAATTTGTGATTTTAAATCATAATATTTCACAATATTAGTGTTTTTACTGTATTTTTAACTTTTTTCTTACTTTTTCTCTGTCGTCTCATTCTCAAGGGCTCTTGAAGAGGACGAGAGGTTGGAGAGAGGACTAGAAATGAGGCGCAGGAAATATGGAAGTCGGAAAGAGAAGTGTGTGTTACAGTGAGGGATCCTGTGCACCTGCTTTTATACAGGACTGTCCCCCATTAAACACTGTGCTGATGGACTAGTGAGGTGTGTGTGGACCATATCACATTAAATGATAAGGAGATTGTGACTAGATGAATTCTCAGTCCTCGTGTTGAAAGGTTTGAGCAGCGTGAATGTTCATTTCAGGGTGGATTAAAAGTTGTTTTCTTTTAGAGACATTTTTAGTCTCAGAATATTTGTCTGACGTGAAATGTGAAATAGTCTTCTGACAGCAGTTCTTGTTTTACATTTTCAGTAAAAATAATATACATGTGACCTTTGCAGTGTTATTACCTTATTTAACTTGTTTGTGTAAGTCGGTTGCTGCAGTGATTTTAAGGTATCTCAAAGCTATGTAAAATAGTACAGTACAAGTATGAAAGAAGGATCAGGCCGTTTTAAAAGACACTGCTGTGTTACCTTCTGTTATGCAAGTCATACATTTAACTAACCCAACAAACAGACAAAACAGCACAAAAGCATGGGAGAAAATAAACATTTTGCACACAATTTCTCCATTAAGTCACCCTATTAGTTATGGATATCATTTGAACAATATGATCTTAATGATGCCTCTCCAAATACTGTTACAATGGTTGTCTGTTCTGTTTGAAGAACCTAATATCACAGGATATAGAAAATACAAAATGTCAAAAAAAAGAGTATGTGCATGAACTTTGAGTGTTAGCATTTTGTTTTCAAATATTTGAATGAAAAAAAAATAGGGAGTGTATTTATATAACATCATTTTTCATCCATGTATGGTACAGAATGCAAAAGCAAATGCACCCTCTGCAATTCAGAATAATTTCTCCTTTAAAAGTGTGTGTTATAGATTTTTTGAGTGACTGGTTGTTTAGAGACTCAGCTCTTTGATATTATCTCTGGCCCTGTTTACACTGTTTGAAATGTCATTGTTTGACAGTGAATTGTTTTTAAAAAGTCCTGATGTCAGCTAACACACCTACAGCTGACAGGTCTTTGGGAAATAAAATTGTTTTAAAATTCTGTATTGCATCCAGCTTGGTGGTTGTTCAGCAGAAACAAGTACCATAGTGTGTTTACAAGTATTGTGCAGTTTTGTTTTAAAGGGGTCATATGATGCTATTTTAAAGATCATTATTTTGTGTATTTGGTGCAACAGAATATGTTGACATGCTTTAATGTTCAAAAAACACATTATTTTTCAAATACTGTACATTATTGTAGGTCCTCTATGCCCCGCCTCTCTCAAACATGTCGTTTTCAACAAAGCCCCCTCCTTTGACAAGCGCAGTCTGCTCTGATTGGCCAGCTGACCCAGTGCGTTGTGATTGGCCGAACACCACAAACACGCGTCAGAAAATATAACGCCCCTTACCATAATCGCGAGCTTCAGCTTTCAAAGTAAATATCAATTATTTTACCATCAGTTCAAGCCCGAAAGGGCAACAGACTCCAAAGAAAAAGGAAAACTTGAAATCGCATCATATGACCCCTTTAAAGGAAATATGTGGTGATCATCAGTATGTGCAAAGTGTCCTAACGTCACTGGATTCCAATGATTCACCGTGGCATCTTGTGTTAAGCAAGCATAAATACAGATGCACACACACACACACACACACACACACATAATCATCTCTCTACCAACAACAAGGGAGTTGTAGGGAGTGTATTGCAAGGTGTTTTGTTTGTTTTATTAAAAGAAGTGTTTATATAGAAACTTAGGCTATTTTTTGTAAATTGCTGTTAAACATTTTTATCAAATAATATAGGCTAATTGTTAGATATTAGATTGTTTATTGATGGTTGTATGGCTCACTTCCCTATTAAATGGAAACATCAGCACATAACCATTTCTCAAAAATTCCATATATACCACAGTCTTGCACAACATTTGTACAAAAGAAGCACTGCTTAATCAGCTACCTCACAGTGTAATGGAACACAAACTGGATCATTAAAGTGTGTGTGTTTTTTCTTTCTTTCTTTCTTTTTCTTTCTGGCAGTCACTGACTGAAAACCTGAAATAAACATTTTAAAGTTCATATAAAGCAGGGATTTGTTCACGAAAAGGCCTCGAGTTGGATATTCCATTGGGCGCTGGACTGCAATCAAAGAAAGAAATATAAAACATTATTAGCAATATTATAAGGGTTCTTCACGTCGAGTGATTACGAACGCTTTGCAAATCTTTAAAAAGAACCGAAACTATCACTAAGGACTACTGAAGTTTAAACTGTATTCGTAAGTAATAGTGAAAACTTGTATCTTCATCGGAATAAAGGAAGCTTTTTTCAATATGTTTTATTTTTTATTATTCATTTCATGGATTGTCTCTGCACAGCTAACACCAATCAGAGGTAAGACTCTGAGGATTCCCAGCAGTGTGTGCTTACAGTAGGCTATGCTATGGGATATTATGTCAATGTAATCAACCTCTATAAAAAGTGTTTCTTTTTAGAAGAAATATTTGATTCAAGCAAACCGCACAGACTACAATGGACATTCTCACCATCAAAAACTGTAAGTAACACAGTTTCTTTGTAGCCTATTTGGCTAATTCCATAAAGGTCTGGCTTTTGTGTTCCTCCAACAATGACTTTAATGAAGAAAGTTTATTAGGCTGTTTTATAACAGGCTGCACATTTTCTTAAAAAAAACATCCATATTCATCCATTTTACATGTTTTACATTCCATGTTAAATTTTTATTATAAATGTTTTATTTTATATATATTGTTCAAACGTTTTTGAATGAAATTTCATTTAAAAAAAATATGGTAAAAGGGAAATTGTTTTAAAAACTGAAATGTAGCCTAATTTTTTATTGATATTTTAATATGTAGCCTAATTTAGTACTGTGATGGCAAAGCTGAATTTTGAGCAGTCTTCAGTGTCATTCTTCAGAAGTCATTCTAATATGCTGATTTAGTGCTCAAGAAATATTTCTTATTATTATCAACGTTGAACAGAACCATTTTTTCAGGATTCTTTGATGAAAAGAAAGTTCAAAAGAACAGCATTTATGTATAACATTATAATATTATCATGTTTTACAACATTATAAATGTTTTTAATGTTATTTTCTTGCTGAATAAAGCAGCGTACTCTTTAAATGAATAATTTATTATTTTATACAGATAATAAACAAATAAAACAGATTAACAGATGTATTGTTTAATACTGGTTGATTTTTAATAATTAAAAATTGAATAATGAATCAAATTTTTCTTCTCTTTTGGTCGATGTAAGTGGAAGGAAACACAAATGCAGCTTGGAAAGGACTATACACACTCTGTCTACCAAGCTTGTAACCCAGAATTGAATAAGGATCACAAAACACTATGGACCAACTGGATCCCCAAACAAGATGCCCATGAACTTTTTCTGGACCTAAGTTTTGCCCAAGCGGACCAGGAGCCTCTTCATATCTATGTGCGAGAATCGAGCCAAACGCAGAATCAGTACTTTAGAAGACCACAAAGACCACCTCTTCTCAAGATCACAGTCCAGCATCCATTTCCTGATGCTGTTCCTCAGGATGAGCACCTGAGCCATGCCGAGGGCCTTAAATTGGGAAAGATCTCTCAGAAGGGTTTTTACCTGGGATTTAGCTACAGCGGCAAGTGCGCTTTCATTGCTTCGATCCAGGTGTTCTTCCTGAAATGCCCAACACTCGTTTGGAACCAAATGGAATTTGAGGAAACAGCAGCAGGAGGGATGGGGAGAGGAGTTTGTGTTAACGGTTCTGTGGCGATCAGCACCCCGATGAGGGAATGTAAAGCAAATGGGACGTGGGGTCCACCGCAGGGGTTATGTGTCTGTGATACAGGATACCAGACAGACGGAAACAGTTCACAAGGTGAGACAATGTTATATTTGACAATCTAAGTAGAATCAAGAGAGAGAGAGAGAGAGAGAGAGAAAGAAATGTGTTTAGAATTCTAATGCCAGCAATGCATAAGTTATACACAATCTTCACAGAGAAAGCATTTTCTGAATGGCAAAAAAAGTGGTTAAAGCCTTAGAATCCCTAAAGCATTTGAAATTGCACCTTCGATAAAGCAAAATGCTTGATTTTCAACTTTAACATAGCTTATAATATAATATAATATAATATAATTAATACATGTCTTATGCTCACCAAGGCTTTTTTTATTTTTACATTTTTATTTTATTTTACCTAAGTCTTCAGTGTCACATGATACTTTAGAAATCATTCTAATATGCAGATTTTTATACCATAGTAAAAACCACTCAGAGCATCTTAACAACTGCACAGCAGTGCCCTGGCAATAGTATACAACACCCTGGCATCATAGAAAGGATTTTTTTGCACAGAAAAGCTCTACTGACATTGCTCTTAAAATGTAGTGTTAGTTTTTATGTTTACAGTGATATATACAGTGCTGAAATTGTATGTTGAGTGTTTGTTTCAGTAAGACCTCCAGGCACCCTGTTGTCCGCTTCTGACTCCGTAGCTGATTCCAGCCTGGGACACTCTCCTGTCCTAACTGCTGGTCTAGTGTGTTCTGTTCTGGTTCTTCTCATTCTCATTGCTGTTGTGTTCATCTTTGTAAGGCGTCACAAGCTCAGGTAAACATATTGTATTTGAAAATGCCTTGGTCCTTCAAAATCTCTGGAATAATGGTCAGTGCATAAAATATGTTGTTTGCTGCTTTATGTGTGTGTGTTCAGTGGAGGTCAAGAAACAGAGCTCTCATCCAGATCTGGTGTGACTCGATATCGACGTTCTCAAGAACAAGTATACACTGCTCAACCGGAGCTAATCATCAGTGAGTCTACTTCTATTTTCACCATGTGAGCATTTTCATTCCAATTGTGAGTTTATATCTCAGAGATTAATTTATCATCTGGGGTCTTGCAAATCCCTATGAAAGCTCATGAAGTATTTGAGATCACCTTGTGTATACACAGTTTAAATGATGATTTTCATGCAGCTTGTATGATGAGCAGCTGTGATCAGAGTGGTGAATGTAGACCTTGTCCAACACTTGGAGAGGAAGTGTCTCAGCGAGACTATGGCTATGAACAGCTGCATACTGACCGACCTCAGCTGGAATCCACAAGTACGTTTGAGTGAGAAGTCAAGTTTGGCAATTCGTTCCTGTCATCTACACATTCAAATTTCCGACAACTCTGACTCATACCAAGTCTTACCAACAATCATAATACTCAATAAAAGCATTAAAATAGTGTCAAAATGCATATGCTTTTTTAGAAAAGGGGAGACCTTTAGAAAAACGTTTTCAAATTTTGAAATTTGTTTCCCCACTGTTATTCAAAAAGTTGAAATGTAATAATCTCTTCACAGTTTTCATTCGATAAGTATATAAAACCAAAAAAATGAATGTGGATATATTAACTTTTTAGATATTTTAGTTCATCTTTAATTTTTGGTTGTATGAAAGTAACTCATTTGTTATATACAGTATAACTAACTTAGACATTATTCTCATCCTTCACTCTCCACTTTTCCTATGTCTCTGTCTTTCTGTGTCAGGATCAGTTGAGGTGTTGGAAGGAATGAGTGATCGGCTGCTGTGTGATCTTAGAGACGTGATGGTGGAACGTACAAAGTTGACAATGGGCCAAAAGCTTGGGAAAGGTATAAACAAACTCTCACCCTGATCTTTTTTTCTGGGTCTTGCAAATTTGTCTGCACAGACATAAAAACATACTTTTTTATGTCTGTTGAAATGCATCCATTATTATTCAGTAAAATTACGGTAAAAACCCGGCAGCTGTGGTTGCCGGAATTTTACCGTAAAAAATACGGTAGCAACGTTTTAGGTTTTATGGTTTTAACTTAAATCTACAGTTAAATACCGTAATTTCATTAACTGATATAATTAAAAGATTGTACCGATCCAAACTTTTACACTTTCCCATACACAGTAATTTCAAATACGTTTGTGACTAAATCAAAAATATTTTTTGACAAAATATAAAAAAGAAAATTATATTTACTTTTATAATAAATAGAAACTTTTATATAAATGTATATAAATATATAGTATATACACAGTATTTAGTATTTCATTTCAGTATTTTAACCTGACCTTAATTGGTATTTGGAAATGTTATGCATATAGAAAATAAAATGAAGTGATAATTTAATAACTGTTTCAACCCCCAAATCAAATCAAAATTTGTTTATATTTACAAAATACAATTAAGTTGGTCAGTGAAAGCTTTGGTGGATTTTCTCTAGAGATGAATGCTACTGACAGATGAGGTTATTTATGTCCACCAGGGGTCGCACTAGAGCGGGTTCCGGAGTCCTCCATCCATGTACCGCTTGTTATTCTTCCGTTCATGGAGCATGGAGATCTACACAGCTTCCTCAAAGCGACCCGCTACGGTGATGTTCCCATGGTTGGTCTCACACATTTGCAACACCTGCTTTTGGACTTCTCCTTATTTTTTACTCTTGTTTTATATAAAGGGTTGGTTAAAATAACCACATAGCTGATTATATACATTGCGTCGTTTAAACTGGTTTCTTCTCTCCAGTTTGTGCCTTATCAGAGTCTTCTGGGTTTCATGATTGACATTGCTGCAGGAATGGAGTATCTCAGCCTTCAGGGTTTCTTGCACAGAGACCTGGCTGCCCGCAATTGCATGTGAGTCCACAGTAGGGCAGCAAAGAGCACAATAATGTCCTGTTAATACTTGCATTGTCTTGAGGAGAAGCCACGCCTAATGATGAACACAATGTTTTTTCCCATACTTACCCAGTGCTGGACTCACACACATAGTTTGGCTTTCACAGGTTGGGGGATGATCTGCATGTCTGTGTGGCTGACTTTGGCCTGTCTAAGAACATCTATTCCAGTAACTACTATAGGCAGAAGAATATGGACGTTAACATGCCTGTAAGGTGGATGGCTATAGAGAGTCTGTCTGACTTCTTATACACCACCAAGAGTGATGTGGTCAGTCCTATTTATGCTTCTAATGCAGTATTAATACAGTGCTTTGTTTTCAAATTGATCACTGTTTTTTGTGTCTAATGTAGGAATGAGTGAAATAGGTTATTTGTGTCATATTACAAACTGAACAACTGGTGAAACCTGCCAATCAGAAGACATTTTTTTTATTTATTTAATTGCAGTGAAGGAATAATTCACTCAAAAATGAAAACCAATGGATCCTCTGCAGTGAATGGGTGCCGTCAGATTGAGAGTCCAAACAGCTGATAAAAACATCACAGTAATCCACACCACTTCAATTCATCAACTAACACCGCATGGAGTGGAAAGCTGCATGTTTGTGAGAAGCAAATCATTGAGACATTTTTAACATTTTTAAACCATTGGTTCCATCTAAAATACGAGTTCTCTATCTGCAATATTGCTTTCTCCAGTAAAAATGGTCTTATCTGAATCAGGAGAGAAATGTTTTACAAATACGCCGCTTTTCACTTCACAAGATGTTAAGTGATGGACTGGAGTGGTGTAGATGGGTTGTGGATTATTGTGATGTTTTTATCAGCTGTTTGGACTCTCATTCTGACGGCACCCATTCACTGTAGAGCATCCATTGGTGAGCAAGTGATGGAATGCAAAATTTCTCCAAATCAGATCTGATAGAGAAACAAACTCATGTACATTTTTAATGTCATGAGGGTGTCAATTTTTTAAATATATATATATATTTTTGGCCTTTTATTGCGTTTTTATTAGATAGTTGAAAGCAGACAGGAAAGTATAGGGTGGAGAGAGGGGATCTCAAGACGGTAATCGAACTCAGGTCACCGTGAGCACAGTTGTGCTATATGTCGGCGCGCACGAACCACTAGGCTATCTGTGTTCATTACTATTCTATTCTATTAAAGAACTATTCCTTTAAATAGAATCATCAATCAGAATAATAAGAGTTTAAAAAAAACCTAAACATCCAGTTAAACACAAATAGTTTGAGTGGAAATGGTCCTAAAATAGTTTCTTATATATAAAATATATTTAGGTTTTTGTGTGAGAAAACTGTGGGAAACTCTGTGGGAAAAATATGACCTGGATACGTTTTTTAAAAATAAAATTTACCAACCAAAAAACTTTTTTTTTATACCTTATGTCTCACAGTGGTCTTTTGGAATAACCATGTGGGAGATCACATCCAGAGGGAAGATGCCTTATCCAGGTATCTCTGGTCATGAGCTCCTGGACTTCCTGGAAAATGGACACCGTCTCAAACAAGGGGACAATGACAGTAAATTGTAAGCACATTTTTCATCAAAACATCACAAAAAGTAGCACTGAAAAAATAGAATTATTATTTATAGACCATTCTGTTTATCAGGAATCTGTGACTAAGCCTTTATCAAAAACGGTCTATAGCAAGACTAATGAAATCAGTAGCAAACGTTTAGGTCTGTTTTAAGAATCCTCATGAGTCACGGCAGTAATGTGCATATGCAGCTGAATTATAAATCATTGGATATGATAATGTTTAGTGCATGTTTTTGAAGCATAAATGGCAAGAGGGGTTTTTAAACTGCAGATCTGGAAGATGATTCGTTCTAGTGCTTTTTGCGTTCTCTCTTTGCTGTTCTCCTTCTCCATTTTCCTTTGACTCTTCCTCTGTCAGATATGAGCTTATGTTGAGCTGCTGGCACGGAGATCCCTCTCAGAGGCCAGGATTTGGAGAGCTGGGCCAGAGCCTCAAAGCACTTCTGTCTGAGCTTCCACCCCTGGAGGCCAGCAATGAGGCCCACTACATCAACCTGGGTCTGCAGGCAGCCAGTGATCACCAGGACAGCGCAGAGGCCCTGGAGCCTGAGGTGGAGAGGATGATGTAAACGACATATACCTGCCTGAACCAGCGGGCAGCTTTGTTCTTTTCTAGACCCGTGAGGGAAGAGAAGGAAGACCTGCTGTGCATTACAATTTAATATGAGAATGTAGTCCACAATATGCATTTATTAACACATGCTTCAAGTATTATGGTGAGATTACGGTTTCAGAAATGACATAAAAGTCCACATTGCTAGAAGTACATATGAGAATTCATATTTATCAGAACATATACTACATATTTCTCAAAACATATAATATTGTGATTCATATTTAAATTTTTCTACTTTTTTTTACACTGTAGCCAATATATATATATATATATATATATATATATATAAAACAATTTAATTAGTAATATTAGATATTTCTTTTTAATATTCTTATTATTTAATACTCTTATTACAATTATATATATATATATATATATATATGTGTGTGTTTGTGTTTTATTGTACATCAGTTTTGCATGTAGTGTCTTGCCTTTCTAATATCTAAGCGCTTCAATAAAATATGGATATGTGTGACTATATGACCATATGATTCTCATGCTCCAAACACTATAATAACATGTGGAAAAATTATTCTAAAATCTGTAGGTTTTAAAAATAAATATAAATTATTTTTCAAAAACGGATAAACACACACACACACATTTTTTTTATTTTAATACATTTTTATAATAGTATATATATATAGTCTATTATATGTAATTATGTTTTATTTGTAATGTCATCTGATTTATGATCGTTTAATTATATATATATATATATATATCCTCCTGACTATCAGAAAGAAGTTATGAATTTAGTGTTTTTTCATGTCATTACTTTGTTTAGAGCAGAAGAAAAAATAATAAATACTTTTTTAAAAATGATATTTTATTAATATGTTATGATATCCTCTGTAGATATGTGTTTATGTCCATAAAGCGGCGTCCTCGTGATGTATCCACAAGATGACTTGAATCTCCGCGAGACCCGCGTACCGCCACGTCCTCTGACGTCACTGCCGCACCTGCGCAGCCATCTTGTGCTTCGAGCGAGGGGCAGATCGCAGGCAGAACAAAACAACAGCGCGTTGCGTTACATGGTCAGTAATGTCCGTCAAGTGACTGAATCCGACGAGAAGACAGTGTTGAGGTGTGATCGGAGGGGCTACATCAGAGAACGCTGCGGGATTACAGACCTAACTAACGCTACAAGTCATCCTCTTCATCACTATCGCCTCAGTCCGGTCTCCTGCTGAACCCGACGACAACGACACAGACACGCCATGAATCCAGAATAGTGAGTACTGACGGCCAGACTAGTGTTTGTGTAAGTTACTCACGAAGCGTCGGTGTGAGTAGCTTTGTCTAGCCTCAGCGACTAACGGCGAATTCAAAGGATATTTGCTCATTCAGCCTTTTGTGTAGACGGCTTCTTACGTTAACGAGCAGTAGTATCGCTATTGCACGCTTAAAATGTGAAACTGTCGTTATTTGGTGTTTATATAGCACGCGTTTGCCGTAGTGCGTGACGTCGTCGCGTCGCGTTGCGTTGCGACGCAGTGACGTCATCGGTTGGCGGACGCCAGGCTGAATCCAGCTGTCGCAGTGCATCTGGCAGGCGAGCGCATATTCCCCTTAAATGCACGCACGCGGTGTTTTGAACCATATGCGAGCTTGTCATTGCGAGGCATTCGAGTGTCATGTGGTTTTTATTAGGCCTGTGAATTGTAAAAGTCGGGTTTACAGCTGAAAGAGGTCTTGAGGAGGAGAAGTATTGTGTTTTCTTAGTAGCGTGCAGTCAGCTTACAAGTCTGCGTTCATACAGACGTGTTTAGTTGAGTATTGCACGAATAACCAGCAGATTGTTTGTCACATCCATCAGCAATATTTTAAGTGCATCTGTTTCACTGGCAACAATGGACACAAACATGTTTGAAACACTCCCATGTTTGCCATTGGTCAGTTAAGCAGGTAGTCCCGCCCCAAACTCCTGCCATTGAGCCAGCGTTGACATGTCTGACCTGGTCAGGCCTTTCTGTGTTGTAAATGGTGAAGTTGTCAGTTTGTGAGTGTATTGTACATCCTTAATTAAATGAACTAAAATATCTGTATCAGCATTGGCCATTGACCGACCCACTTATATCCAATTTATGGTGTTGTTTTTATTGCAGAAAGTGTTTGACTAAAATGTACTTGTTAAAACCGCGAACTGAACACTGAAACGCTTTACTTGTTTGAGATTATTGTTTGTGGGTATAGCACCTCTTGTTTTTCTCTTGACACAGGCAAGAGCACGGTGTATCATTAGCATGCTGAGACGTAGTGCTGGGCGGTATGACCAAAAATTTATATCACGGTATTTTCCAAAATGATACCGGTTTCACGGTACATGACGGTATTTTTTTTTTTCATGCATCATTTGTGTTAACCATATTTTCTACTGATTGAGAGAGGAAATACTGCAGTGTATTGACTTAGAATGACCTATTTTACTGTCATGATGAGTGAATATTGTCAAAAAATGCCACACTAAATAGTAGGGCTGGGTATTGAGTTCGATACTTTTTAGGCACCGACCGAATTGCCTCGATACCATCGAGTATCGGAAAACGTCTTGTCGTTTCGGTACCAAATTTCGATACCTAAGGGGTTAATCTCATCAGCGTCAGTGAGCCAATAAGCCTGCAGCACTTGCCGGTGTGTTCGACTAGAAGAGGCTCGGCGCAGATCGATCATCCGCGAGAGAGATTCGAAAGCGCACGGAGCAGTCTGCTCTCTTTAGCTCTCGTGGTACTGTAATACCACCAGTATAGTGTAGCGCGGGAGCTGTGTGGAGTTCCCATCATATGCAGATGTCCGTTCATTCTAACGTTACACGACCATTCACGCAAACTGTAGCACCATGCTACATAAGACAATAAAGAAGATTTATATTCCGCTTTTATTCAAAGCTCTTTAAGTTGGTTACATTTTGTTCCTTTGTGCAGTGGCTCAGGAGTCTTTGAGTATGTATAACCATTAACAAGCTGAAAAATAAAACCAACGGTTTTGTTTTAGATAATGTAATCTTGTTCAAATTGATTTCATAAAATTGGTATCGAAAAAAGTATCGTTCAGGAACTGGTATCGAAGTCAAGGTATCGGTATCGATATCGAAAAAATTTTAACAATACCCAGCCCTACTAAATAGTGACTAAACACGACCCCTTTTAATACATTTTAACCAGGAGTCACTCATTTATAATCGCGGCATCATCTGATAAAATCAACATGCATCTACACTAAAGAGCGGCTATGCGGTTGTTTTGGCTATATTTCTTTTTTGTCTCATGCAGCGCACTGCCTGCGTCTGAGAAACAAACTAAAAAAAACAACAAACAAAAAAAGTGCATGTGATATTAACAGACGAACTACGCTCATATTTATAATTCCAAACAATCAGTAAGCGACAGGTGCTAGGAAACGCTGTTTTGTACTCATTTATTGACGAGTCGGCTGTGGTGCTTCTCTGCCGCTCACTGCACAGAACAGACGCCGAGAGAGACGACACTTCTCCGGGAAAGTCAACCTCGCGTTCGCAGGACATCACTGGCGAAATCTTCCAACTGAACCATAGCTAAGGTTTATCCAAAGAAGACGCTAGGTTTGTCAGTATGAATATTTTATGGGAAAAAGTTGCTAAAAGGGTCTGAAAGTTGCTAAATCTAGTGCTAAAGTCGTGTGTGTGTGAGACGCGGGAGCTGATGGCACGGGGCGCTGGATATTTGTGGTGGTCATTGTGGATATTGTGGATGAGTTCTTCTGTGTCATCACGTTCTATTAGTTCTACAGCTTCAGTTTCGGAACTTTCACGCTTAGTAACACATACAGCTGTTCCCTCACCACAGTGCAACAGTGAAAAGGGATACCGGTATTGCAGTATTTTAAAAATTCATATCATAACAAAAATAAACACCGGTATTCGGTATGAACCGGTATACTGCCCAGCACTAGCTGAGTGTCATGATTGCTTCACAACTGTTGTGTGATGCAACATTTCTCAGTCTGTCTAATGTTAGTACTTGAATTCAGAAACCAGAATAGGTCCCTCGTTGCGACAGTCATCGCTGGAATCAGATTGGCTCAGCTGTATTTTGAGCTGGTGGCAGGGGATACTTTGTTTATGCTGATTTTGTTTTGAACCTACTTCATCAATGTGAACCAGATTCCTCGCTGTTGGTTATTGAAAATGGCAGTTGATTTCGCAACTTGTTTCCATTTTAGTAATACTAATGCCACTTCTTTATTATATCAGTTTAGCCTATGATAACCCTATGTAATGTGCTGTATGATTAGTTCAAGACAATAATGTAGTGTCATTGATATATTAACATAATAGGACAAACACCATTCCTACAAGTCAATATGCACACAAAACTTTTTACAGTCCAAGCATCTTTGTTGTTGGTCTTGCTGTGTATAAAGAGAGAATTGTTACTTTAGACTACTTTAGACCACATGATTTACAATATGCTACTTGTTAACTCTGCCATATTGTATGCTTATCATCACTAATGTAACTACTGTAGCAGTGTTGTCATTAATGAAAACTAAAAGTATTAAAAACATTGACATTTTGTTCATTGAAATGATGGTTGGATAAAGTAAAAAAAAAAAAAAAATTTATGATGTCACGGATCAGGTGAGAGGTCACGAGAAATTCTCCACCTTCGTTTAACAAGGCACAATTTGCAGCTGAATTAATAATGAATCGTTGTCAGCAAGTCTCACAGATGTTCTGTACCACATTTTTCTGTAGTTCTGATGCTGTGTAGACTGTGCTGATGACCTGATTGTCAAATTTGTGTTATTTTAAAAACGCCAGTGTTATTTTAGTATTGTTACATTTTTTTAAATATATTTTCAGCTTGCATTTTAATCTTAGTTTTTTTTTTAGGCCCTTTTGTCTTTTTTTTTTGTATTTCTATTTAGCTTTATTTTTTATTTCAATTTTAGTTTCAGTAATTTTAGTACTACTACTTATTAAATTGAAGTTCAAGTTAATTGCCAAGGCAACATTTCTCATTTTCATTTACGTGTTACCATTAATATGCATGTTTTATTTCAGCTTTTACTGAAAATGATTTTAATAGTTTTAGTTTATAATAACAAGCCTGCATAACACTGCTTCATTTATCACATGAAAGGTTGAACTTAAGAGTTATTTTCTATTCCCTGCTTTCTCTAAAGGAATCATATAACAATGTGAAACAGTGGCTCCAGGAAATAGACCGCTACGCAAGCGAGAACGTTAACAAGTTGCTGGTGGGGAACAAATGTGACCTTACCACCAAGAAAGTTGTGGACTACACAACAGCCAAGGTATTGATGTGTGTCAAAATAGACGCATCTAATCTGTATTAGTTTCTGATTTGAAATCTCTGTTCCCTTTTTGATCAAATCTAGTGGACTTTTCAAGCCCAATTGCTTCCCATTTTTGTGACATTGGTAGCATAATAATGCACTTACCCCTACTAATAATGCTGCACATGCTAAGGGTTAGAGATTTGAATAAACCCTAACTTAATGTTTAACCAGCCTTGCACCATTTGTTTTCTGGACATGAATGATACATCAAAATGTGCAGCTTGTTCTAAGCGCTTTGATTTAGACTTGCATTGCAAGAGACCAGGGGGCTGTTTCATAAAACTAGTTTACCAAATAAGCCAGGCTTATTTCAGTTATTCTGACTTATTGTCACTTGATTTGGTTTCCGAAAGCAAAATTATCATAGCTCAAGCTCAGTCACTGTGGCAACTTATGCTGGGAAACTTACCTGGTCCGGAGCAGGTTAACTGTCAGGCTAAGCGGAGTTCCTCTAACACTGACCAATAGGAACGCGTTGATATCACCACTGCAGTGACTTTCTCACATACAATTAGTTGACTTTATTATTAGTCCAAAAATAAAAGTATACAGAAAATGCAACTTAAATAATCAAATATATAAAAATATAGGCTACAACCAACTGTATTTAATGTATTGTGCCCAAAATGTAATGACCTTTTTTTTTAAGATATATAAAAACATTTTAAAGGGGTCAGATGATGCAATTTCAAGTTTTCCTTTCTCTTTGGAGTGTTACAAGCTGATTGTGCATAGATAAGATCCCTGAAGTTGCAAAGACTAAAGTCTCAAAACCAAAGAGATATTCTTTATAGTTAAGACTCTGCCACGCCCCCCTAAAACGGCTCGTTCTAACTGCGCTTGTCGGAAGGAGGGACTTTGTAGAAAACGAAGCGTTTGAGGGAGGCGGGGCATAGAGGACCTACAATAATGTACAGTATTTGAAAAATAATGTGTTTTTTGAACATTAAAGCATGTCAACATATTCTTTTACACCAAATACACCAAATAATGATCTTTAAAAAAGCATCATATGACCCCTTTAACATGGTTGCTACTATGATATAAATTACTTGCACCTCAGAAGCGAGCAGACGTAACACAATAAATGCTGTCAATGCTTTCGGAGGTGGATGCTGCTGTTTGGGAACGCAGTCGTGTAAGACAATTATACAGAAATACTTTGACGACAGACTTTGCTCAAGCATTTCAGAATGACCAAAACAACATATAGATGTTGTGAACGAGATCGGTCCATTGCTAGTCAAATTATCCCGTCTCATAGCGCAAAGTCACATTACTTTTTCGATGTGCATGGAGGAGTTTATTCAGTAAATGTGTTTCCATCGTAGTTTATGCGCAATTTTTCTTATCGGATAAAAAGTTTATCCTACTCAAATGTGCGCATAAGTTTTTTTTATGTGCGTTTTTAGAATTTATGCGCATCTTGGCGTGTCCATCCAGCGTTTTTTTAATGCAATATTCCAAAATGCGCATAAAAATAGGTGGATGAATTAAAAATGAAAATAAATAATAGAAATCAGACTACATTTTAACTGATAAGAAGAATACACATTTAACTCATTTGAGCTAGTAATTAGGGCTATGTTAGCCATCTTAAATTTGATTTACAGTTACTGCTATCATTAAAATACACTTGCATGTAGGATTAGAATTCTACATGTCACATTTAATGTCCAACAACATATTTTAGCAGAATGTATATTTTACTCAGAATGATTGCGCTATTATATTTAGCACGCATACGCGCAGCAGCGCTCGTTCACTCGCGAAGCATCGCCCACTCTTGTAAAATGGATATATTTGCATTACTTTCTAACATTTACATGTGAAAAATATACCTGTGACGTGTCAGTTATGCACTGAGGAAAACTCAACGTCTCAAATGCATTAAATAGCACAAATATTCGTTGTTTACCATAGTGGATCGATTTGATCCATGATCGACCTTAAGGGCTGCTTAAGAATAAGCGTGCACATCAAATGATCTTGACTCACTGAACCTGGATCGAATTAGTGAGATTGCGTGAACTTAAATTGTCGTTTATGAAACCGCTTTAGTCCCGATTGATTTCTTAGTTTATTTCAAGTCAGGTTTAGGACTATAATCCCCGCTTTTCAAAGCGTCTTTTATGAAACAGCCCCCAGATATCATAAAGACTTGGGTTTGAGCTCATTTTGACTATAGCCACTTATAACACTTAAGGTGCAGTCAGATTAGCGAAATTTCATCAAAATTTCATAGTCAAAAAAGGTACTTTGTTGGTAGTTTAGTGGTGCATGCATGAAGCACAGAATCACTTTAAATACAGTGAATCTGTGTAAAAATCTTGAATCCATTGGCGCCGATAGCCTAGTGGGCAGTGCGCTGACATATGACGCCGTTGTGTAACAGACGTCCCGAGTTCAAATCCCGGCTCAATTACCTTTCCCAACCCCCGCCACCCCCTTGTTTGCCATAGTGGATCGATTTGATCCAAGATCGACCTTAAGGGCTGCTTAAGAATAAGCGTGCACATCAAATGATCTTGACTCACTGAACCTGGATCGAATTAGTGAGATTGCGTGAACTTAAATTGTCGTTTATGAAACCGCTTTAGTCCCAATTGATTTCTTAGTTTATTTCAAGTCAGGTTTAGGACTTTAATCCCCGCTTTTCAAAGCGTCTTTTATGAAACAGCCCCCAGATATCATAAAGACTTGGGTTTGAGCTCATTTTGACTATAGCCACTTATAACACTTAAGGTGCAGTCAGATTAGCGAAATTTCATCAATTTCATAGTCAAAAAAGGTACTTTGTTGGTAGTTTAGTGGTGCATGCATGAAGCACAGAATCACTTTAAATACAGTGAATCTGTGTAAAAATCTTGAATCCATTGGCGCCGATAGCCTAGTGGGCAGTGCGCTGACATATGACGCCGTTGTGTAACAGACGTCCCGAGTTCAAATCCCGGCTCAATTACCTTTCCCAACCCCCGCCACCC